TCTTTTGGTCCATTCTTATACCTGTGTTAAAAATAATGACCTTAAAATATTTATGTTATTGAGAAACAGCCAATTAATATTACTTATTACTGATATCAAGAAGACCATATATATGTATATATATAATATGCTTATATGTACATTTTATGTGTGTGGGGATGTGTATGTATGTAATCTATATATAGGCAAGCACCACCATGCCTAGCCCAAATACCTATATTAAATGTGGAAATTAATTCATATTTGCATCAAAACTAATATTTTGTAGATATTTAGATAATTACCAATGAAATTTCAGTTCTTGGTACCTCTGCATGATTTCATTCTCCAACACACCACTTCTCCAAAGGAAAATAGTATAAGGAATTTTGTAAGTGGATTTTCCTCACAATGTTTCCATGTCAATTAATTTATGTATCCATAAACAGTTTTTATAGAATCTTACCAAGAAATATCTGTCTAGCCATTATACAACATATCTATTGCCCCCAATATATACTGGTTTACATCAACAGGTGTATTAAATTCTGTTTTTGAAGTACACACCTGTACAACAAATGCTATAACTGAGCAAAGCATTTAATTTGAAGAAGGGATATCATTTAGTTTATCGGTATATTATTACAACAATCCTTTAAAACTTCTTATCCCTCTCTTCATATCACACAAGGGAATTTCCATATAATATGTAGGAGGATATTTCTTTAACTTTTAACATTTTGTATATTCAATTTTACTATAAAACATTACATTTGTTGCCCAAACTTTTTAAAAATAAGTCATTTTCCATCATATCCTCTTATTCTAATGACCTATTATGGCAGTATCACTGCAGTCTATTGATTAATAAAATTCCACCATAAATCACCAAGAATTTTCCTCTGGTGTTATGAACATTATTTCTATTGGCTTTAGTAGAAAAGAGAGCAACCAGGGATGAGAGGAGGGAAGTGAACATGTTAGCCCCGTATCACTGACCTGACATTATGTGCAGAATGTGTGCAAGTCTCTCCACCTCTCTGTGCCAATACTGCTTAATGGAAATTGGGAGAATAGCACCCATCTCCACAACACAGCACCACAGGTGGTGTGGAACTTAATGAATATTGGGTCATCATGGTATTATTCAAATAAAAAATCCCATCACTATGGAAAAGTTGAGTTTAATGATGAATAAATTTTCCAAATGTCACTGCAGTCTGGAGTAAGGTGATTTCTACAATGTGCCTCAGACCAAATCATAATTTTTGCCTACACTTTTCTCTTTGTGATGTTTTCTTTTCTTTTTATATTCATGTTAATCACATTTTATAAATTCAAGATCTGTCCAATATTAATTTACATTTTCTATTGTGCTGAAATATATTAAAATGTATAGTTTTAGTCATTATTAACTTTGTAGTTCAATATCATTAATAAAATTAAAGTTGTTAGGAAACTATCACCATCATAAAGGGCTAAAATTTCTCATTTCCTCACTGAACCTTTACACTCAACTCTAAACTCCCCATTAATCTCTTCTCCCAACCCTTATAACAACAATTCCACTGTGAAACATGGGAAATTAAAGCTATTAAATTACAAAATAATGTAACCAAAGAGGCAAGATTTACAGATACCAGTGTTAAACTTCACTGGTTTTCCAAATTAAAAATGAAATATATGTCACTGATAATAAGATTAGGCTATCATACTAAGGAGCTTCTTTAGGGCACTTTTAATGTCCCTGTTTCTCAAGCTGTAGATGAAGGGGTTCAGCATAGGAGTGACAGCTGTGTACATCACTGAGGCCACTGCACCCTTTCTAGAAGAATGAGACAGAACTGAACCAAGGTACACTCCAATTGCTGTTCCATAAAACAAACAAACAACTGCCAGGTGAGACCCACAGGTGGAGAAGGCTTTGTACTTCCCACCTGAGGATGGGATCTTCAGAATGGAGGAAACAATTTTATAATATGAGAAAAGGATCCCTAAGAGGGGGAAAAAGCCATATATGGCTCCAACAAGATACATGACTAGGTTATTGGTGAAGGAGTCCCAACAGGAAAGACTGAGGACTTGAGAGGGATCACAGAAGAAATTAGAAATTTCAACATCTTTGAAGGTGGTAGACTGTAATGCAATCAAATTGTGCAGCTGTGATTCAAAAAAGGCTAATTGAAAAAGACCCCAGAACTAAGAAGCCACAAAGTCGAGGGTTCATAATGATTGGATAATGCAGGGGGTGACAGATGGCCACAAACCGGTCATAGGCCATCACAGTCAGAAGCATGTCATCCATACATGCAAAATTGAGAAAAAAAGACATCTGTGTCAGGCAGCCCACATAGGAGATGCCTCTGCTGTGAGTTTGAATGTTCACAATCATTTTTGAGACTGTGGTGGAGGTTAAACCAATATCAGCCCAGGACAGGTTGGAGAGGAAGAAGTACATGGGGGTGTGGAGGTGGGAGTCAGAGCTGATGGCCAGGATGATGAGCAGATTGCCAAGCACTGTGACCAGGTACATGGACAGGAACAGGCCAAAGAGTATGGGCTGCAGGTCCAGATCCTCTGAGAGGTTCATAAGTTGAAATTCAGAAACACGTGTAAGATTTTGTGGGTCTATATTGATTGGACACCTTTTGAAAAAGAAAAGAAGATTAAAAGAGAAATATATAAATGGGCGCCCAGCACTCTGTATACATTTGAATTCAAGTCTTCACAAGAAAAGTATTCATGCTTAATATCTATGCACCTTCAACAATACTTCTCAGTAGCAAATAACCCATTCTTCTTGTACTCTTTGGTTATTGCTTTCTGCATTATTCATCGCTTCCTTCCACACCATCAGAAGTCCAGCAACAGTGGAGGGAACAAGTAAAATGCAGCCTACTTTTTAAGGAAAAATGGGGGAAGGTAGTAAGCGTCTTTTTATTAAAAACATTTTTTAATTAAAAAACCAATTTTAATAAAAAGAAATTAAGAGGCAGTCCAATATATTTTGTTTTGTTCTAGACCTTGGGACTAATTTCTTTGATTTGCAATATTTAGATGCTGTGTTTCCTCATGCCAAGCAAAGCATAGGCTCTGGATAATTGAAAATGAGAAAGGGAGATTTTTCTTCCCAAATACAGAGCATATACATCTGTAGGAACTGAAAATAAAATATCCCATAAAGAAACAGGAAAACAGCAACATCAGGTGACTGATGTTTTAGCTGAATAGCATGAAGAATAAACTTATCATTAGTAATAACACATTTATTTTTCCCTAAATTTATATATGTATCATGCATTTATCACATACAGAGGCCCTATATGTGTTTAATCTTTCCTCATTGGAGTTATGTCAACTAGAAATCAACTCAGATAACAATGTTGAGTCTCAGATAGCTCAGAAATGATAAGTACTGTAGAAAGATTAAAAAAATAAATGCTTAGACTCTGAATTGGGTCCATTAAATGTTTCATTATTTCCCAGCTGACAGAAAGTTTTTAGCAGATGTCTTAACCACAGGTACAATTGAAGTTATATTTTTAAAGTCTTCCCAGTTCTGTGAGTAAGAATAAAATCAAGACCTGACATAAGGTGACCTTTTGAGATTGAGTGGGCTAGTTACAAGCATGGACGACCATGTAGTCAGCTGTAAGGATGTTCCAGAGTGGGTACAAGACAGAGATCTGTGCTGAATGATCATGAGTCTCCCCTATTGTGACCTGTGGCTGTTCTTCCATAGTGCATGCAGCAGGCACCCCTACTGCTCTGCCCTGTGATCCCCAGGAATCCCAAAAGAAATAACACAGTGGGAAAGGCTCTCTTTCTGATGGTAAGAGAAATGGCTGATTGGCTTGTTGATGGGACAGCCTGCCAGGATTCTCCTGCATGATGCCCTGTGTCGATGGTCAGACAGCCCAATGTAAGCATGGCTTTATTTTCTACCTATAAATGAGTACAAGTTACTTAAATATAATGCACATTTTCCATTTGCTTTTTAAAATATTTTTATTCATGCAGTAGTTATACATAGTAGTAAGATTTATTTTGATAAACCTATATATGCATGAAATATAATTTGCTTCATTTTAGTCCCCATTACTTTCTCATTTCCTCCCCATCTCCTATTCCCCTTCCTCTACTCTATGGGTCTTCCTTCTATTTAGTTATTGTTTTTAACTGGTGATTTATAGATATACGTTAAGATGAAATTCACTGTGGTGTACTCATATATGTGCACACCATAATTTGGTCAGTTTCATTCCATGGTTCTTCCTTTTCCCATCCCTCCACCCTCCTCCTCTATCCTCTTCCTCTACTCCAGTGAACTCCCTTCTACTTTCACAGGATCCCTCATTTTCCCCCTATTTTGCTCTAGCTTCTGTTTGTGAGAGAAAAAGTACACTCATACATTGTTGTTGGACTGCAAATTCGCACACTACCCAGGCAAGCAGTGTGGAGATTGGCCAAAATCTAAGAATGGAATCACCATATGACCCAGCTATCCTACTCCTTGGTATTGATCCTAAAGAACTAAAATCAGCATTTCATAGTGATACAAGAACATCAATGTTTATAGCAGCTCAATTCACAATATCCAAATTATGGAACCAGCCCAGGTACCCATCAACAGATGAATGGATAAAGAAAATTTGGTATATATACACAATGGAGTTTTACTTAGTCATAAAGAAAAATTAAATTATGGCATTTGCTGGTAAATGGATAAAACTGGAAAACATCATGTTAAATGGAAATGAGCCAGACACTTTTCATTTTGCATATAACAGTAATAAAGTGGCCTACATAACTAAAGTGAGATGGTACACATGAAATGAAACAAATGGCAGAACACATTGTTCAGCACCTGGAACTGGGGAAGCCCTCTGTATCAGTTCATGATGCTTTGGCTTCTATCATTCTCCTCATCATCCTTATCATCACTATCATAGTCCCTTTTCAGTGCTTAGGAAACACTTTAGAAGAACCCATTTTGTGCTGTTATGGGTGAGATTTCTATGGGAAATAGAACCAATGTGGGTAGAGAGCAAATTTTGAATAAGATTTCTGATATTAACACCTTAAACCAAAATGTAAATTTTACAATCCCCAAAGCTGAAATTTTCAGATGATATCCTCCCATCTGGCTCTCCAAAATGTGATGTTCATCCTCATGGTGAAAAAACAATATTCTAATAATCCTTCCCACATCCACTGGCTCCCTCTGCACTTACTGGGTTAGGCTGCTTCTCTGCTGGGTCATGACCAAGAAGTACAGATCACAAGATCTACCCATGACTGGGGTTCAATTAGACTCAGGCCCTGTTCATGGCAATAATATGGATAGGGTATCAACTATGAGCTTCTTGATGCATTCAACCACAGAAGGAGACACAGTATGCAGCTCTCTGGGCTGGACCATCAAAGAAAAACACTAAAGCCACTGGCTTTTTATTGATTATTAAAGGACTTTGGATGTTAAATGCACAGAGTGCATAATTAGCCAAATTAATCCATGTTGTCCCAGTCTCTGAGGACTTTCTAACATTAATGGAGGAAGAATAACAAGAGGAAATAAATGTCCACAAAAGGGCTTGGACTTTGCCTCTACCTTGGAGGAAGTTCATGTACTATTCACTTCTTTCATCTCTACATTTTGTAAAGGTACGTCTGCTTTTTTATCTATTTTTATTGAGGTAAAGTATAAATAACAAAAAAAAAATCACCCACCATGGTGGATATTTAATATGAACTCATAGTGTTAGTTAATTGTGTTCACATAATTATGCAATCATTGCCATCATCCAAATCGAGAAACTGCCTTATTAGCCAGATTGTGTCTTCCATCACTGCTTCCCTCAAATTTTATGGAGTCCTGAATGTTGAGATGACAGAAGGCCAGTCAAACCTATCCCCACACCCACTTTCCTCTAACCTCATATGCCCCTGTCATCTCTGCT